GCGTCTCGCAAGAGTGGGGGGGGGGGGGGGGAGCAAAAGCAGCTGAATGCCGGGGGAGGGAGTGGGGGAAGCGCGGAGCCATGGGGAGGCACCTTTAGTTGCTCTGCCGCTGCAGGTAAAAGCGGCTGCACGGGCAGAGGGAGCAGCCGTTGGCAGCATGTGCTTCTCTGTCTCCTCCCTCCCCAAGCATGGAGTGGGGAGGAGGGAGGGAGGCATCTCCTGCTCCGTATCCTACTGCCACCATGGCTGCCGGAGCTGAGCTGCCAGGAACAGCCGGCTTGAGCTCTGACAGTTGCTGCGGCCCGGCAGCAGACCACGGACTGGAGGCTGGGAGCCGTTGTTCCAGAAGATCCCCAAAGAACTCAAAATGACAAAGGTGGGATTATTTCAAATAATTATTTTGAAATAATAGGCTTGGTAGTATGGACACTCAGCTCATTTCCAAATAAGGGGAGTTACTTCAAAATAACTCCCTAACGTAGACCAGGGCTAAGATCAGAAGCATGGTTCCAGGGAATCTAGTCATTCCACACTAAAGGTTTAGTCCAGTAAATCGTCCTGATGTACAACACACGAACCACGTTTCATTCCTCCCAAATGGGACGATGAAAAATGAGTTAATTGGTTTCCATTTTATCTAGAGTCCTACAAACTTTCGGATACTCTGGCAAGTTGTTGCAGGGCTTGCTGCCTGAGTGTTTATTAGTTGAAGATGACTTGTTTGCACTGTAATTTAGATTTTCAGAAATTCATGGAAACGTGTGTTACGATTTACAAAAAGCTCCTGCAAAATTAGATTAGATCCAGCGGTGAAACTAACTTAACATTTCTTACAGGTACTGTCTTATTGCAACCTTGATCCCTGCCAAGTAACTCCCCTTACTTTCCTGCCGGACCACATCCACTTACTTTTACCTTTGATTAGATCTGACTTAACAGAGTCCATTCCCCCCACCCCATGCAGTTAGACAGCTTTCCTTTGCACCTCTCTAGGAAACATATCCAGCTTCAACAATACAACTTGCTTATTGTGAACCTCACACCCAGTTTGCAGTCTGATCTTAGCAAAGCTCAATACTCATGCTTGGAGAGTGAACAGTCTTCCTAGTCCCAGTTTGCTAGCATAGGGAAGGAAAGAAGTCAAGGCTCAATTCAGACAGAGTTAGCCCCGTGAACTCACCACGCAGGCCCTCTCACCTGAACTTCCTTTCTCACTTTTCCTCATTGCTGTTTTAGCTGGAGTGGATCTGTTCCCACTGGGTGCTGTTTGTTCGGCTGGAGTAGATGAGTTAAGATTAGAAGCTGTCTGCTTAGCAGATTTGCTGGTATTGGGGACTGCCTGCTTAGCTGGAGGGACATTTGCCTTCTCAGCTTGCTTTCTGGGTTTCTTTCTCTTCTTTTTCTTCGGCTGGCTGCTTGCATCCCCAGCCCGAGCTCGCTTGGAAGCTGAAAGGCACAGGAAAGGTTTACAAAGTCACAGGACAGCTCTTTCTTCACTGTCGTCCTCGCCAAACAAATACTTTAGGGGCCCATTCAACATGCTGCATTTTAATGTTAAATGTATTTTAATGCTAACATAAGCCCCTCTTCAGTTATGGGATTTAGGTGTTGTTGAAAATGACAGATGTTAGAGCAGAGTTTCCTGTAAATAGTCGTTCAGGAGAGAGTCAAATGCCACCCAACTGATTTGCAGAGCACCCATAGCTACTTTTTTTCTTTCTTTTGGTAGTGTGCATCTGCTAGAATGCGCACTACCAATATAATTATTCCACACATGAATGGAAAAGATTAGAGGGAACATTGGTTAGAAGAACCCAGCTACAGCCTAGCTATGGCCAATGTTGTCCCCAGTTCAGCAACTACTTAAACCAATGTATAATTTAATGATACGCAGCTATCAAGGGGGCTAATTAGGTAATATTAACACACATTTAAATGTTTGCAGGATCAGGGCCCACATGACAGCATGGTTTGACTTTTACCTACCAAGTCATACAGACCAGACCAAACGGCGTGCTAACCCTACCAAGCAAACCATGCCACAAACCAGGGTTCCTAGAGCTCAGAAATTAGCATTAAAAAAAGGAGTCTCATTGCTTAGAACAAATAGAAATAATACCGAGTTTTCTTTTCCATGGCTCCTGGACCTGCTGCACACAAATCTTCTGAGCTAAACTCTGTAGGTATGAGTCTTTGATGGCCAGACTAGCCATGCCCACTCAAGGTCACTTGGTGGCAACACCACTAAACTACAGACTGAAAATCTACTGTCACACCCCAGAAGAGAGGCTCAATTCAAGAAACGATGTGCTCCGCACACAAGTGTTCCTCCTTGGGAGCGGGGTTGCCTCGCTTAGCGTCCAAGCGGATCACCAGCACTCCGGGTCTTCAGAGGGCTGCACCATCCATCTTCTTACCTGGATATGGAAATAAAAGCTGGTTCATGAGCGCGTAGCAAAGGGCTTCATTGAATGCCAAAAAGAGAACGGTAACAAGTAGCAAGTTTACAACTGCATGGGGGGCAATGGAGGAAACAGCTGCACAGAAAAGAGGGGGCAATGGGGAGGAAGGTGCACAAGAGGGGGCACAGGGGACAGGTAGTGAGGAGGGAGGAGCCATAGAGGCGACACATGGGGTAACAGGAAGGAAGGTGCAGTGGGGGGCGCAGGGGACTGGTGTGTTACAGCAGGGAGGGCACCGCACTAGAGAAGCGCAGGGAGTAACAGGGAAGACGGTACAATGGGGCACAGGGGATGGGGGT